TTGCTCACCTGGATATCTAAGCAATCATGGTAAAATATTTTTCAAATGAGATCCAAGGGAATGCCAGACCCCAAAGTCAATTCTTGTAGTATGTCTGTATTAGATTTTTCATGCACAGCAATTTAATGAATGTTTATGGGGTGGGGATCTCAACTGTTTCCAAGTTGCAACTCAGAAACTAGATCCCTAGGGTCGTGGCCAGACCCCAGGATCAATTCTAATATCATGACTGCATTCATCTCTTTTTGTCCAGCATTTGTATTTATAGTCTTGGGGTGGGGATCTCAACCGTTTCAAAGTTATGACCCAGAGGTTAAGTCTGCAAGGGTGGGGCAGACCCTGGGATCAATTCTAATATTATGACTGCATTCGTCTCTTTATGCCCAAAAATTGTATATAGTTTTGGGGTGGGGAACTTAACCATTTCAAAGTTATAATTATGACCCAGGGTTAAGTCTCCAAGGGTAGGGCAGACCCCAAGACCATCCTGGAAGCATATGTGCATTCATCTCTTTATACAGCCCACCATTTGTACAATTTTGAATCCCTGCCTCCCACCATGACTGCTTCTGACCAAATATGATCGATATCCATGGCATGATTCTACAGAAGAAGTCGTTTATAGCAATATAGCCAAATTTTCCCCTTTTGGCCCCGCCCCTCAGTCCCCTGGGGGTTCAGCCAAAACTATTTGTACAATTTTAAATCCCCACCACCTAGGGATGCTTCCAGTCAAATATGGTTGATATCCAGTGCTAGTTCTACAGAAGAAGTCATTTAAATGTAGCAATAAAGCCAAATGTCCCCCTTTTGGCCCCGCCCCCTCAGTCCCCTGGGGGTTCAGCCCAACCATTTGTACAATTTTAAATCCCCACCACCTTGGGATGCTTCCAGTCAAATATGGTTGATATCCAGTGCATAATTCTACAGAAGAAGTCATTTGTAGCAATATAGCCATATTGCCCCCTTTTGGCCCCACCCCTCAGGCCCCTGAGGGGCCAGACCCACGGTTTTTACAAAATTGGTTCATCTTCACCCAAGGATGCTTCAAACAAAATATGGAACAAATTCTTTCATTCCTTAAGAAGAAGAAGGAGTTTAAAGAATTTGCTACATTTCCCCTATTGGGCCCCACCCCTCAGTTCCCTCGGGGGCCAGACCCATGGTTTATACAAAATTGATTCCCCTTCACCCAATGATGCTTCAGACCAAATATGGCACAAATCCTTTCATTCCTACAGAAGAATAAGGATTTTAAAGAATTTGCTATATTTCCCCTATTAGGCCCCGCCCCTCAGCCCCCAGGTGACCATATTTGGTCAAAATCTGCTCATTTGTTTATGACTAGTAGCGAATTTTTAGGAAAAGTTGACGGACGACGGAAGAACGACGCATGCCGCCCCATGGCACAAGCTCACTTGCCCTTCGGGCAGGTTAGCTAATAAACCAGAATCTGTGCAAACTGACAGCCAAAGTAAATGGTCTGGTACCGGATCAGATATTAACAATTAACCTTTGTGTTCTGTAACAGAATGTATCTTTAAGTGTCTTTTGGACAAAGGATTCTTTTAATGCAATATATTGTACTGAATTATTTGAGCTGTTTGCACACTCAATGAAAATTGATTTAGGAATGTTCAGACAGTGGAAAAGTTATTTATGTAACCTAAAGTTACACAATTAACATGTAGATGTATTTACTACTTCCTCATCTCTACAACAGCGTACTTCATTGGATTAAATCAGAATCACAATTAATTTTGACATCTGAATGTGTCCCTTTTGTAGTAGAGTTCCCTCAGTTTTTAGTATTGTTTTATTGTTCTTTTTCAGTAGGATAAGCCTAAACCAAACAAATACAGTTAGAGCTTATTAACTCTATCTCAAGCCTGTTGTCTCTGATTCTCCTGATATGCGATAGACCCTAAAGGTTACATTACTTAGATCCTGCGGTTAACATTGGGTGTGATGTCCATCGTCAATCCTGCGAGTATTATACATGTCCTCATGTTCATCCCATGTATACATTGCTTTAGGGTGCAGTGATTTCAAAAGTTTCCATGTTAGGAACAAGAAAATAAGTCCTTAACGTCAAAGCCAGACCCAAGAGGCAATTTTGATAGCATATATGTGTTCATCTCTTCATGTCCAGCAATTGTATATAATGTTATGCTATGATGATCATTTGAAAACTATCCCCCTAGGACTAAGTCCCCACAGGGGTGGCCCACGAGCCACATCCTTGGACAAATCTTGGTAGCAAATGTGTCAGTCTTTTTATAGTTGTTTGTCATTTTAGGGTTAAAATACCCCCCCCCC